CCTGGCGACGGCTCAACGACTCCAGAAGCAGAAGCGGAAAGCCAAGCCCCTGCCTGCGCTAGATTCGCTGGCTGGTGCCCTGAATGAGCTGGCAGGCGGCCAAAAATCAGGGGATGCAAGCAACGACGGTAGCCAGGGTGGCGGCAAGGCAAGGCATATAGCCTCGAAGGGGCGTGGCAGTAGCGTAAAGCGGCTGAAGGCGCGGCAAGCCATTGCGTGAGTTGTGGGCGTGGCCTATGAAAACAGGGGGCTTGCTGCATCGCGTGGCAGGGCAACATTCAGCGTACTCCGCTTGTCGGCCAGGCTACACAGCCACTTGAACTCTGCCAGCGGCTGATCAATGCCACCCTTGTGCCGCTGCCGTTTCCGCTCGTGCCTGATGGCAAGGCTCAACCATGCACCGCACATCAATGCTCTACATACGTCGCACGCTGCAGGCTGAGCGAGACCCACCGGCTGCAGCAGGTCAAGGAGCACCCTTCCTACAAGGCAGACCCCTTGGGAGCGATTGCACACCACCTGCAGGCCACGCTACCGCCAGCCAAGAAGCCGCCCGCGAAGGGCGGCGCTAAACAGCAGCGGGGCAAGGGCGCCAGCAAGGCAGGCAGCGCAAAGCAGCGGCAAAACAGCATGCAGACTGACTAGCGGGATCGGGTCACCCCCGACACGTGATGCGTCTTGAGCGCTTGCTGCGGGTTGTAACCAGGGACGTTTGATGCTCGTGGTTTGGCTGGTGCTGCCAGGAGGGCGGCTGGCGGCAGCAGCTCAGGCGCAGGCGCAGGGCTGCTGCATGGCCCCGCGTAATCGAGTCTGGTGCACAGCCCGAGGCTCTTGACTGGTCTCGGCGGCCAGCTCCTGAGCTATTGCTGGTTTTTCTGCACCCACACTGCAAAAACAGTCGAACCTTCTTGTGTATATTTTCAATTGATTAAGCGTCGCAGGTCAGGACCAGACTTCAACACAAAAGCTAAAGCTCGTCCCGCCCCATGGCCCCTGCTTCTGCGGCGCCTCCGCCGCCTTTACTGCCCCCATCAACCGCGCCTCCGGCCTGCAAGCCGCCGCCGTCGACTCCTGCCGCTGCCTCTGGGCTGGGCCGGGCAGCCGCGGCCTGCTGCTGATCCTGCTGGGACGCCGATGCTGCTGCGCCCGCAGTCGCTGCCGCTTTATCAGCCACTGGCTCGGCGTCGCCCCCGATGCCGCTGCTGCCGCCGCCGCCGCTGCCTTTGCCACTGCTGTCAAACGCCTCCGCCTCTGCTTGCCCCTGCCCTGCGCCCCCCAGCGGGACGCACGAAATCAGGCGCGAGTCCTCGGGCTGCACAGGCAGGCATGGGCGCGGTCGCGAGGTGGCGACGAGTCAACATGTGATGGTGGCACAAGGGGAAGTAGCGGCGCCAGGCAAAAACGAGCGAGCAACAGCACAGGGTCTTTACATGCTCCGCCAGCTCACACACCGCCCCCAGCCTGCTGCACGCGGCCCTGCGGCGCCCGCCCGGCCCAAGCAGCGCCCGCCCCCTCGCCTTTGGCCTGAACGCGGGGTGCTGGCAGAGCAGCGGCGTCGACACCAGCACCACGTAGTTGCACGTCGGGAACTCGCGCACAGAGGCGATCAGGTTCTCCTTTGAGTCGCGCAGGCACGTGTAGCGCACCTGGTCGCAGCGGCGGAGGCGGGGATAAGGGGAATGCATAGTGAATGAGCGCACGGGAGGCGCTAGGAGTTTTGGCTGCGCCTCTGCCCGGCCCAAGCTCGCGTGCGTGTGCATGTGTGTGCGTCTGTGGTGATTGTGTGTTGATGTGCGTATGTGTGCGTGCGTGTGTTTGTGCCATGTGCGCATGTGCACGTGTTTGCATGCTTGCGCGCGGGCAAGGGCCCGCGTGCGCACCTCAGCGGTGCGGGGCTGGCCGGTGAGGTGGCACGTGGCGCCGTTGATGTACCTGTGCACGACGTACTTGACAGGGCGGCCAGACGCGCTGGTGTCCTCCTGAGAAACGCGCATTGAGCATTGCGGTGTTGTGGGGCAACTAGCAGAGCACACAAAAATGCAAATGGGTGCGTTGTCGCGCCACACTATGACCAGTGCTGAAACCTGACCAACTGCTTTGCATGCTGCCCTGTTGCCACACTGTAAGCCTACGGCTGGCGGCAGTCCAGCCCTAGTCTGCTGCGCGTCCAGTCCTCCCCCCATGTGCGAGTGCATGCGGGCGTGCGCGCGCACACACACACACACACACACACACACACACACACACACACACACACACACACACACACATCTTCACATACACACACACATGCACACATAAAGCATGCCACCTTGCGCACCAGAATGGTCTCAGACTGCGCTTCGTCCCCCTTGTAAGCGCCGCAGCTGAACTCCTCCGTCTTGGTGCCAGACACCTGGGGTCAAGCGGGGCGAGCACCAAGGGGCCCAGGGCATGGCCGCAGGGTGGGCTGCCGACTCCGGCCGACGCACGCCGCTGGCCTGCAGCGAAGCGAGTGCTGCGCCGCGCTCCACCCCGGGCCCCAGTCTTGCCGGCCCCGCTGCTCCCCGGGAGGGCGGCCCCGCGTATGGGCGCAACAGGACTGAGGGAGGGTTGGGATGTGGCGTGGCCAGCGTCCAGGTTGCAGGCGGGCGTGCTCACCTGTCTGAATTGCCGCACCCTGTTGCGGTGGCAGCTCTCATATGTCCAGGTGGCGTCTTTGTGGTATAGGCAG